TTACACGATTTTACACCAAAATAATCCTATTTTTTTCCTCTTTTACATTAGCCCCATACCCACTTCAAACACATTAATAGTGTAATGTAATCAGCCGCTAACACATTTGCCTCATTTTTCGGGGAACGTTTCAAAAATAAGATGTAATTTTTTAGCCGTTAGTTCTTAACGTTTTATACTTTAGAATCTAATTCTTGAGTAGTTGGGCTATCTAATAAGCTTTGGGTTTGGTTTAGTTTTATCACTCCTTACCTTTAATTCAAGAGACAATGCCAACTAGTACAAAAACATATCGCAATTACCCCACCTTACCTTACTAAAATTATCAGATTAGATTCATTAATGTAATAATTAATTTAATAAATGTCAATAATTTTCACTTATCTTTGTTTAATAATTTTTATTTTTTCAATAATACAATAAAATCACATATTTTCAAAAATAAACAATTCATTTTCATAAAAATAATTATAATTTTGCAAAATTACTATAAGTTTAACTTTAACCTTAAATAACTTTGAAATAAATAAATAAATAATAAATAAAGTTTATTTAGCCAAAGCTATTTTTTAACAAACAATTTGGTTATTTACAATTTTTGTTACATACAAATCTTTAACATAGGTAATCTCTTAACATTTTTTTAAAACTATTATAATTATCACAAAATTTAATACTTTGCGGCAAGTCGTTAAATAATTTCAAAACATTGGAAAAAATACTCTTTTGCGTCCTACTTTTTTTACAAATTCTAATATAAAAATCTTTATTTTGTCTGGTTTCATATGTATGCACCTGATTTAAATAATATATATCACTATACAAATATTCAGGTACCATTTTATTTTTTATTTTAAAAATTATGTCTAAAGCTTTAAAAGTAATTCGTTGCTTAACACTCATAAAACCCAATACTTCTAACATTAATTTAATTGGTGTATATTTTCTACATCTTAATACAGTACGTAAAGCTCTATTTTGTATTACTTGAAGCTTTGAAACTTCATTTTGATTTAAATTAAAAAGGACAGTTGAACAAAATTCAAGAGGTAAAAATAATGACTTATACAATAAAATGTTAACATATAAACTTAATTGTTTCCCTATCCTATTTAAAAAGTACACTTTTTTGGACATTTTAGACATAACATAATTGCAGTGACTAAAGAAATTTAAACACTGATCCAAAATAACACCTAAGTATTTTATCTCTTTAACCCTATCCAGGCTAATATTATTGATTTTTATATCTATATTTATATTAGAAATTTTAAAATTTGAACCAATTACCATATATTTACATTTATTTATATTAAGACACAGACCATTCACACAACCATGGTTAACTGCAGTTAATATTAAGAGAACATAAATCATCATTTAACATATTTACCATTTCATCAATATTATTTCCACAGACATATAACATAGTAACATTGAAACATTGCACTTATTAACATGATTAATCATATCATTAACATATATAATGAATAACAATGGACCCAAAACTGTACCTTGAGGTACTCCATTTTTTACATACATTTTGTTAGATACATGTTTATTAAACTTTACATTTTGAGTTCTATTAGTGAGATATGAACTAAACCATTTAAGTGCATTAACTGATATTCCAATTTTTTCTAGTTTTTTTAATAAAAGTTCTCTATTAATTGTTTCAAATGCACGACGAAAATCCAAGAATATAGCAATAACCACTTCTCCCTTGTCCAATACATTAACCCATTTATTACAAATATTTAAAATGAAAGTTTCACACGAATGCTTATTCCTAAAACCTGATTGACACATGTTTATCACAGAATTTCTATCACAATATTCAACTAATTGATTTTTAACACATAATTCTAAAATTTTCTCAAATGAACACACAGTATTTATGGGTCTAAAATCTTCACATTTGGTGGAATTTGTGATTTTTTGAATAGGGATAATTGTTGAGTTCTTCATACAATTTGGGAATTCACCATACAACAATGAGTTGTTAACAATATTAAGAAATTGATTACCTATCACTTCATATGCATCTTTTAAAAAGAGGGTGGTTATTCCATCTACATCTGCAGTTTTTTAAAGTTATTTATTATTTTCTTTAAATCTGACATAAAAATTGGTTCAAACTTATTAAAACGTTCACAAAATTGAATTTTAGGCAAAACATTATCATTATTACTTTTAGGTATATTTTTCACAATATCATCGATACTCTGTATAAAGTATTTATTAAATTTATCTGCAATTATAATTGGGTCATTTATTTCTATTTTGTCAAACTCAATACTTGATGGTGCATTATTTTTATTGTTTATTAATTGTTTTAAATTTTTCCATAACTCTCTGCTATTGTTTTTATTTTCATCTAATACTGAGTTAAAATATTCTTCCTTATTTGTTCTAATCGTACTTGTCACATAATTTCTAATCTTTCTATATTCATTCCAGTCCTCCTCCTTATCAGTTATTACAGCCCTTTTATACATTTGGTCCTTTTCTTTTATTAGTTTAGTTACCCTTCCATTAATCCATTTATTATGTTTGTGCTTACTATTTATTGTTTTGTTTTTTATTGGACACATGATATCTATAGTATTTTTTAAATTGTTCCAGAAACACTCCATTAAAAAATTTGTATATGTACTATTATTTTTCCACTTTTTTTCCATTAGTATTTCTTGAAATAATTGTTTATTGTACCGATTGTAAGAGCGATATTGGATTTTAATTTCCTTGATAGTTTCTATTTCTAATTCAAAACTTACTATCATATGGTCACTAATTTTCGGTGTTTTATGTACTATACACTTCATATTTTTGTTATTTGTAATTACATAATCAATTAATGTTCTACTGTATGCTGTTACTCTTGTGAAGTCATTAATTACTTGATAAAGACCATATTGTTCTATTATTTCTTTACAATTCTTTACATAATGCGTATAATTTTTCCAGTCATAGTTAAAATCCCCTACAATTAAGTGTGTTTCATTAATAGTACTGTACTCTTGTAAATGTTCTTTAAAATGTTCAAGGAATACTAAATTATTTGAATTAGGTGATCTATAGATTGTAATTAAAGCATACTTTATCTTACCTATTTTAATATTAATTGTTAAAAACCATATTAAATCGTTTATATTTTTCTTTACTTTAATTTTAAACTTTAACTGTTCTAAAATAAATACCAGTATTCCACCAGTTCTTCTGTTTTGTGTATTACATTGTGCATATTTGTAGCCTGGTATATTAATTTCTGATGCTTGCACTGTATCATCTATATGACTTTCCACTAAACAAACAACCAAAGGACGCCATACTTTTAACAAGCAATATATTTCATCTTTATTATGTATAAAACCCTGACAATTTAAAAATACTATTTTATTAGATTTTATTTGCTATAATTGAGTACGATCATACTCTCTATTAACATTTCTCATATAACTTGGACATTTTTTGTCAAAAGCTGTATGAGAACAATCAACATTAATTTCTCATATAACTTGGACAATTTTTGTCAAAAGCTGTATGAGAACAATCAACATTAATTTTAAGTACTTCTTTTGCATAAGTACAGTTCATGCAATTAAAATCTTTAGATTTACAATCTTTTGTCAAATGATCGGTTTTAGAACATTTAAAGCAAGTACTTACTTCCTGTTTACATTTTTCAGCAACATGTCCAAATCTTCCACATTTATAACATTGCAATATATTTATAAATATATATATATATATATATATATATATATTTATAACATATATATATGTTCGTATACTAAACATACTCTCCAGCCACAGTTAAGACTGCCTAGATTAAATACTTTTATATATATTTTCTAAATACTTTTATATGACTATTTTATATTATATGTACAGCGTTTAATTTCATATAAAAATATGTGTCTCTTATTGCTGTATATTAACTTGCTCGAAAAAAAAAATGACTGTAAAACTTTCCGAAACCCCATGTTATTTAAATGGGAAGTGTATCCTCTTTGTGGCACGGTTTAATATAAATATTTTTTTATAATTTTTTTAATAATTTTTTTAGGTCATAAACTAAAAATTTAGGGGGCGAGGCGAACAACAAAATAATATATATTATATGTTACAGCTCCCGGTCAAGGTCCGCCACTCTTAAAACCCATTAACGAAACCATTTTCGCGAAGTTTCACACTAACCGCACACCTGACACCAATTGTAACGTTTTTATGGTTTGAAAGTGTGAATAAAACACGCACTGGTTAATTAACGAACTAAACGATTTATTTTATAACTTAATTACAATTAAAACACTAAGAAACTATAAAAATAACTAATCACTTAACTTCGCTGTGCCTTATATATAAATTTTAGTAGGTACAGGAAATTATTTATTAAAGAAAACTTTGGCTATAGGATGTGCCTAATAACGTACGACCTCTTGCAAGCAGTTTAAAATTTTGCAGTATATTTAAGGCAAAAAATTTGCGATATTGTTCAGATGAAAACCCAGCAAATGAAACATGAAGACCAAATGCATTCACTAAAGGTAACGTTTTGGGCGACCCTAAGAGTCCACGGAATTATCGACCTATATAGAACGCTACCTGCAAACGATAAATCACTTTCACTGCGAAACCAGACTTTATACAAAAAAAGCCATTGACCATTGTGCACATCGCACAAATGTTGTTAAGGAGCGCCTTTGTCAAATTTTTCCGAATTCGAAAAATTTTAAAAAGAGATATTCTAATTTAGCCTTCCTGGAGTTCCGATAAGACCCCATCGGATTTTATATTGAAGTACATCAAATCTAAGGTGTATGAAGATGCGCCACGCAACTTAAACCAATTAAAGGAAAAAATCACTCGTAAAATTCGTGTAATAACATCAGGGACCCTCGTACGCGTGGACCTGGAATTCCAGTCTTCGTATGCAAGAGATCGTACGTTATTAGTGAATCTCCCAAAAATTAAAACATTTTATTTTAATTTCTTAGGTGATTTGACAACAGCCGATCAACGTGGAGAAAAGCATTCGCCAAACGATTTCGCCTTGTGGAAAAAAAGCAAACCTGGCGAACCGGCCTGGGATTCCCCATGGGGAAAAGGTCGTCCAGGTTGGCATATTGAATGTTCCGCCATGGCCTCAGCCATATGCGGATCTACTCTTGACATTCATACAGGTGGCGTGGACTTGAAGTTTCCACATCATGATAACGAAATTGCTCAAAGTGAAGTAAGTTAATTCCCTTTATTCTTCGGCCATTTCAAGCGCTCGAAACGCACGAATTACAAAACTGTTTTTAGAAAAAAAATTGTAGAATATTTATTATATAATATTTTGTCAAAAATATACTTCTTTTATTAGGTTATACATTAAATAAAAAAACCGCAAGTTATATTTTATAAAAGTAGAGATAATTTTAATAATTGAAAGGTGTGGACGGGACAAAAAAATATTTATCATGTCCACACAAATATTTAAATTATCTCTACTTTTATAAAATATTTCTTGCGATTTTTTTATTTAATGTACTTATAGCCTAATAAAAGAAGACTATATTTGACAATTTTGATGCAAAAATAATATATATATAAAAAAAATTGTAGGGAATTTATTATATATAATAAATTCCCTACAATTTTTTTTATAAAAACAGGTTTGTGATTTGTCCCGTCCGTACGCTTGAAATGGCCGTCTTGTACTCCTAATTTAAACATATTATATAGGGAGATATTTTTTTCTAAAATTGTTTTTGAATACCTTTTTTAGGCTTACTTTGAGAATCCAGAATGGGTAAAATATTTTTTACATTCTGGACATTTAACAATAGCAGGATGCAAAATGTCTAAATCTTTAAAAAACTTTGTAAGCATTAAAGATGCTTTATCAAAATATTCTGCAAGACAATTAAGATTTGCTTTCTTGCTTCATTCATGGAGAGATACTTTGGATTACAGCCAAAATACTATGGAAATTGCATTGCAATATGAAAAAATGTTTAATGTAAGTTACTACTATAGTATATTCATTTTACCAACTCAGTAGAATAAACATTTTGCGCGTAGTAGAAACGTACTTGGTACTACGTTGGTATCACGCGCAAAATGACTATTCTAGTGAGTTGGTAAAATAAATATACTATAGGCAACAATATGGAATAATCCATTTATTGTTGTCGAAGGTATAACATATTTATATTTTTGTAGGAATTTTTTCTGAACATAAAAGATATAACCAGAACACTTGGAAATAACACAACATTTGATACTTTTGGAAAATGGGAATCCTATGAATCAGAACTTAACAACAAATTTTTACTTACTAAAGAAAATGTTCATGCTGCCTTGTGCGGTAAGTAAACTAGGTACCCTAATATAAAAATTGTCACATAATATTTATTATTTTTAGATAATATTGATACCAGATCATGCCTGGAGGCTCTTAGAGACCTCGTAACAGCTGGTAACTTGTACCTTAGAGACAGAAAACCCCAAAATCAAGTGCTCTTATATGACATTGGTATTTATATTACCAAAATGTTAACTATTTTTGGTGCTATTTCCGAACCGTCAAAATTAGGTTTTCCATTATCCAGTGGGCCTGAAAATGTAAGCATATTTGAAATGCTAAAGATTACATAAAACATTTTAGGTAGTTTTGGATTTTGTATTTTTATGATTTAATTCAGATCCAAAATCCTTTATGTTTTTTTCAAGAGTTCCTTATGTTATGACTTTAATTGAATACATTTTAGACTGAAGAAGCTGTTATGCCGTTCCTTACAATCCTTGCCGATTTCCGTAATAATATAAGAAAACATGCTAGAACTATAAAGGCAACCGAAATATTAAAAGAATGTGATGTAATTAGGGACGATATATTGCCAAATGTTGGAGTCCGCTTGGAAGATAAAGAAGGTATACACTTTTTTTTTAAACTAAAAATGAATTTTAATATTTATTTTTTGTATAGGGGAAACGAGCGCTGTAAAATTGGTTGATAAGGATATATTATTAAAGGAAAAAGAAGCCAAAAAGCAAGCTGATTTTGATAAAGCTGCCGAAAAGGAAAGAAAAAGAGCTGAAGCTGCTGCTGCCCAAGCTGCAAAAGATGCACAAAGAAAAGTTCCGCCAAGTGAACTTTTTAAATCAGAAACTGATAAATATTCCAAGTTTGACGAAAATGTAAGTTTTACTAACCTTTTGAAATTGTTTAAAAAATATATTTTTTGTATTTTTAGGGCATGCCAACTCATGATTTAGAAGGAAAAGAAATAAGTAAAGGCCAATTAAAAAAATTACAGAAGCTCCACCAAGCCCAAGAAAAAAAGTACCAGGAATATCTAGCTTCTCAAAACTAATTTTTTTATCACAAATTATTTAATTTACTTACATAATAAAACTGTATTAAAACCCAGAATTACGTATTACGTATCCAATGCATTTTTATAAATTTTAAAATTTATTATGTTTTAAAAGGAAAATCTATTTTAAATTTTGGGATTACATTAAAATATGACCAAAATTTAAAAACATGGTTTTGTGATAAAAGCCATACATTTACACTTATTAATAAATAAATTGTTATCATTTACAGTGCTTTATACATTATATAGGTAATTTTGTAAATCTTATTAATAAATAAATAAATTTTACAAATTTTTTGTTTAGAAGCATTTTCTGGATGATACTCGTATGTAAAATCACACAAAAAACTACCCACTCTTACTAATGTTTATTTTACTAAAAATTGTACCAAAATTATGTTAACATTCATTTTTGACCCTTGTACACGGAGGTTTGGGGTGTTCAGGAGGGTTTATACATGCATTTTATAACAATGTCTAATACCTATAATGAATTTTTAAAATGAATAGACTATAGGTAGTCTAAACTTCGTAATTTATATTGGTTTTTTATGTAATTTTTTTACGAAATAATAAATTTAAAATATGTATTTAAAATTTATTATTTCGTAAAAAAATTAAATAAAAAAAACAATATGAAGTTTTATGTGAAATTAGAAGGGGTGAAATTTTCATAAGTCGTTGTGTTTTTGGGCCAGTCTAGATGTCTATTCGGTCAATCTGACATAGCGGCCCACCGGGATCTGTCGCTGCGTCCCGCTGGAGCCCATCCACCCCTGGGTTTAATCGTGTCCTGGTGCTGAGTTCTTTTGACAGGAGAGTAGCTTTTAGTAGGTATTTTCGTCAATTGTAAACTGTGTTTGATGATCAAACTTTGATCCACGAAAAAATGTTGGTACCAGTTGTTCACTATAGTGAACAACTTTATAAATGTAGATGGTTTTCATCAAAGTTGGGGTTTGGTTGTGGGGAAAATGCTTTCTCAAAGTGAGATGCAAAAACTTTAGCCTTGCCACTGTCTGAGTGATATGTTTGTCCATTCTCTTCTATGTCACATATTTTATGGTGTTTTTTGTATCTTGACAGTTTGCTAATTTTTGAAAAGAAATCTTTTCCTTTAGCATTGTTTATATCTTCACACGCTTTAGTCCACTTGTTGTTAACATACGTAGAAATTAAATGTTTTATATTCTTTCCTAATTTGTTAATATTGGCTTTTGTATTGGGATCTTCATCAGCTCTGTATTCCCTGTACATTCTACGTTTTAGTTTGAGAAGTTGGACGATAAACAGCGGTAACCCATTTACATAGTTTTTTACTTGTTTTTTAAAATACGTTTAAGTACTTGTTTTTTAAAATACATTCCTTGAGTTTAGTGTTAAATTGATTTATGATATTGGGACTCGGAACTGCGTGATCATTGATGAAATTTATCATTTTATGATTTATGGATTCTATATTGCATTTGTTAAAAACTTATTTTTCTCTTGGAGCTGGTTCTTCAAAATTGTCTGCTTTAAGGCTTAAAAGCATGGCCAGGTCGTCAGAGCCTAAGTCAGCAATTACGTCTACTGGTACCTACATATTAATATGTAGGTACCACAATTGTGTGAGGTTCTGCGAATAAAGTATAATATCTGGCGTGGAATCGTTTTCCATTAAAAAAGTTGGGGGTGTGTGGGGTTGTTTAAAATTCGAGTGGGTGGTAAAGTTTTTTAACTAAACTGCCCACTGAGCAAAATAACATTGCTGCAATGTTGACGCAATATTGCTTTGTAATCTGTAATGTTGCATCAAACCGTAAAGCAATATTGCTGCAATGTTGTAGCAACCCTAATTCTTCCTTGCAGCAATATTGCAATGAAATGTACGAATGATGCATAAATGTTGTTGATGCAATATTGCCGCAATATTACCGTCGAAAAGTACGTGAACGGTTAAATTGCAATATTGTATCAATATAGCTTTTAAATCCTTGTAGCAATATTACCTTAAAATATTAAAGGGAGGTTAAGAAGCAATATTTAAACAAATCTGAAATTTACATTTTTTTTATTAAAACAAAATAAAAACATAATAAAAAAATAAAATATCACTATTATCTCAGTTCATTGAAAAAGAAAATAAACATAAAAAATTAAATATCAAAATTATCAGTGTAATAATTATATATATATATATATAATTAATTATATAATATAATATATAATATAATTATATAATTATATATATATATATATATCCTAATAATTAATATTAATTGAATCGATCAGAATAAGAACAGTACAAGTCCAAAAATTTTATTTTCACAACTCAATTTTTAAAATCAATTTAAAAGTTCAAAATGCATTTTTGTGAGAATATTTCAAATATTTTATAAAATATAATAATCAAATTTTGTAAAATGGGTTATATCTTCTCACAAAAATGCATTTTAAACCTTTAAATTGATTTTAAAAATTGAGTTGTCAAAATAAAATTTTTGGACTTGTACTGTTCTTATTCTCACCGATTCAATTATTAACAAAAGTTCTCCAGAAATGGGAAACTTTTTTATTATTAATTTTAGAAAAAAAGTTACGTCTTAATAAAAAGTTCTTTCTGAAAAAATAATATTAGACTATTAAAACTTAAAATAGGATGTACAGGGTGTCATAAAGTAGGAACATTTATAATTGGCCCAAGTAAGTTCCCTTAATTTTAAAATGTTGCTTAGAATTAAAAGTTATTTATATCCAAGTTTTAATCGCCTCCTATTAAAAAATTCTTGTAATTATAAAATGAATAATAAATAATTACTTAATTATAATTAACATTACATTTAAATATCGAACTTGGGCTCACAAACATGATAACATTTTTATTACACGCTTTTTTTGTTAAGGTAAGGTTCTGCAGTATTTTATTAATTTTAGAAATATCAATAATTTTTTAACAGGAGGCTATGGATTTAAACTTATTTCATTTTGCTCCAATAAAAATTAAGGGTACCTACTCTCTTGTGCCAATTATAAATTTTCCTACTTTATGATTTCATGTTATTTTATGTTTTAATAGTCTAATAGCAGAACGTTTTATAAAGTAACTTTTTTTGTAAAATTAATAATAAAAAAGTTTCCCATTTGTAGAGACAAAATATGTAGAACAAAATAAAATTTACATATATACGAAAAAAAATAACATAACAATCATAAATTTTGACACAATGCTGTCACTTAAAAAAAACGCGGTACAAATTGGTAAACGCACAATCCACACAACAAGGTCTGTTCTATCTTGTACTTAAAATACTAAAAAACACTGCAACACTGCACAGACTTTAACGGCGGCCATTTTTGTTTTTTGGGCTTGTGCTGTTTATACAGATTATTAATCGTTTTAAACGTTGTGTTTCTTACAGAGGCACTTGTAAGCCTTTAAAAAGACCTTAAAGTGCTAAGAAAAACCATTTTAGCTTTTGTAAAGAATAAACCTTATTCTATCAGAGCTGTCATCAAACTGTCAAATGTCAATTTTAAGGTTAATTTGTGAGTTATGGTAAATTAACCTTAAAATTGACATTTGACAGCCCTGATAGAATAAGGTTTATTTTTTACAAAAGAGGAGTACCTAATATGGTTTTTCTTAGAACTTTAAGGCTTCTTTTAAGGCTTATGTGCCTCTGTAAGAAACACAACGTTTAAAACAATTATTAATCTGTATAAACAGCACAAACCCAAAGCACAAAAATTGTAAACAACAAAAATGGCCGCCGTTAAAGTCTGTGCAGTGTTGCAGTGATTTTTAGTATTTTTAGTTCGAGATGGAACCGACTTTGTTGTGTGGATTGTGGATAAACGTATCATTCTTATATAAAAAAGTTACGTTGATTACTTCCTCTCCCTACTTAATCTAACAGCTGCGTATTGGAAGAAAGTCATCTTGGCTTCCTTAAAAATAACTTCTTTATAAGTATTTGGGAACGCATTGATTACTCCATCTATAAATCAGAATATATAATTTTGATATTACATAGTTTAATACAGAACGAGAATACAACTGTGTAGATACCATGGTACACATTGAGTGGTGCGCATGCGCACCACTCAATGTGTCGCGACCAAAAAGTTCGTTCTTTTTCAAAATGACATAACTTTTTTGTTTCTTGAACGATTTAATTTTGGTTTGTGATGTCTGCTAGCCCCATCCTCTGGCAATTTATGCTATAGATATAATGCTCACGGTTGGTCAAGTAAACTTTCTACAGGGTGTTACATATGTTAAACGGTGAAAAATTTCAATAACTTTATCCAAGCCCCGTTTGTAAAAAAATAATTTTTTTTTCGTTTTTACTTTGAAATAATGAAGTATTATGTGTTACCTTGAAACGTTTTTCAAATTTTTCAAATTGGAATCTTAGCAACGAAAATATGATTTTTTTTCCAAAAGAGTACATTAAAGGCTTTTTTTTAGGCAATACACTCAGTCTTTTTAGAAACAAGAAGATAAGATGGTGAAAGATTGTTCCTTAAATAATTCTGAACAAGCGACAAGCAACACACTTCCATTATTTTCAGAGGTCCTAAGCTAAGACCACTTTTTGAAAATGACATTTTTGTGAAACTTTGCAAAAACTAAATCTAAACCGATATTTACTTTCGTAAAATGTTTTCTTTATAATTTTGATCTCCTGATTGTGATTCAGTTGTCAAATTTAAGTTTCAGATAAAACCAAAATCACTACGAATCAAGATTCGAAAACAATTTCCGGCTGTTAAATGTGTCAATAAAATCCGATTGCTGGTTTTTACTGTTTTTTACATATCGTAAATGAGTATTTAAGGGACCACCACATTGAGAAAATAAATTGGCCACCTTTGTCTCCGGATATGAATCCTATTGAGCATGTGTGGAGCAGGATAAAATTGAAGATGAAAGAGAGGGAAAGAGGCATGGAAAATTTGGATAAATTGGTAAATGCTATTCAGGAAGAATGGGGTATCTCAGATATTTCTAAGGAACTTGGTCGAGGGAATGCCCAGGAGGGTTAACGAATTATCACGGCTTAGGGGAGGGCCAACGAAATATTGAAAGGTACTATTATTGTTATTGTTTGTTACATTTTTCTGTTGAATGTTGAAGTTTTGATTATG